TTCCCTTCCCAATGTCACCCTGCTCCCAGGCTGCCTTGAATGCTTGTAATCTTGCACACTTGACCCTAATGCAATTCCTCTTTCCATTGCTCCCAGATTATGCAGATTGCCATGAAAGGGTATGTTTCCAGTTATTTTAGAGAACTGAAGTCTATTCTACAAGGTACTAGGCAAGCAAAAACTTAGCAGTTTAAAAGCAACAAATCAATCTCTCTCATCAAAATGCTTGTGTAAATATATGTTTGCCAAAGGAACAGTTGCTCCATAGGAGAGAGGTAATGAAATGCCTTAATGACCAGAAACCCAATTGCACAACTCTTTTTCTGACAGCATAATTTTGAATTTCAGTTTGCTCATTAACATTAATTAACTATAATAACACTTTGCATTTTTACAAAGCCTTTCAAGAGAAGAGCTCCCATTCTTTACAAACAGGCTTGTGTTCTGAAGCACCTGTGAAGATCTTGTTCAGATGCCCTTGTTAAAGGAGAGAAACACTACTCAGTCTTGGCTTTACCTGGAGTTCCAGATGTCACTCACTGACTCTTTCTGTGTCTGTTTCTTCATTTAGCTCGGATACAAAATTAACTAATATTGGTGATATACATTTAGTTGTGGAATTGAGAGTGATAATAATGCGTATGAAAAAAGATCAGTCTGGACGAGCAGAAGTGTTATCTCCTTTTTACAGATGAGTAAAATGAGGCAGCAAATGATTAAACCAGTTGACCTAGGTCTTCTGCAGTGACTCTGTTAGCATCCAGAAAACTGTCAGTAGAGTAACATTTTTCCTTATAGTGTGCCAGACAAAACTGTATATGCTTCCCTCTCTGCAATGAAAACTACCCCTTGAAATCAGAACAGGATCACTTTCAGTGAAATTCCCTTTGAGCTTAATTCGTGTTTACACTAAATCCCCTTTGCAAGTGATAAGGTGGACTTAGAGTATGAATTGCATATGGACTGACTTTAAAGCCACTTTATATTACCACAGACAAGGACTTAGTGTGTGTGTCTACCTGCTGAGGCATGCGGCTAATTAGCCTGGGCTCAGTAGTAACCTAATTCGACTGTGCTGTTTTGGGGATCTAGGTTGCAGGCTACCCTAGGCATATCTAACATGGTGATAAGGGCTGGGGATCACAGTAAAGCCCCTTGAGTTTACACAAATGTTTCTTTTCCTTAAAGCAAACGAGGCTTGTCAGATTCAAAATAATTGCCGATGATATACATGGTGAATTGTGTATTGCCTTTATTATATAAGGGACGTGTAAAATTCTTCAATATGAAATGTAGATCAAGGCAAAAGGTGGATGAGGCATGTCCACTTTGCAAAAGATCATGCAAGCACCAGGAATACGTCGTGAAGGCTCTCTCCTACTAGAGTGCGTGGACGGTAGAACATGGAAATACATGCCTGACATTAGTTATTACAGGTTTAAAGCCAAAGAAGAGAAAATTGGTGTCTGTGACTTTCTTGGTTGCTTTCATAAATAAATCACTCCTCTGGACTCTTTTTGCTTTGCTACAAAAAAAAAAAAAAAAAAGGCACCAAAGGCCACATGCCATTCTGTGAAAACAGTCCTTAATGGCTACTGTTACAGAAAGGGAAAAACAGAAATTGAGCTGCAGCGTGGGTTGTATGAGTTGCCCTAGGTATGTGCCAGGGAGGCTAACTCTGGCTGAAGTCACTATCTTCAATGACACTGGTAGGTAAAAAGTGGCATGGGTGTGCTAAAACGTGCTGCAGTTTTCCCTCTGGCTGAAATTCAGACATACCCTTAACTCCTGCAAATGCTGTCCTGAGCTTTGTGCTCACCCTTCCAGTGGAGCTGACATGAAGTGCAGACTAGGCACTGTGACAGCAGCATGGTTGGAGTAAATTTCACCCATGGAGAAATAAATACATCTACAACACCTAAGGGGGAAAGTCCCATGTTGCTAGTGATGTGTGGTGCCAATTCTTTATCTGAAATCTGATCAATAGTAACAGCCCTCAGTGTCTCTGCCATTTTATAAAGATGTCTTTAAGGACTTTGCTAGCTAGCCAGCTGGCATCTATCCTGCACTCAGACAGACTGTCATTGCCAGTTTCTGCTGAAGTGAGACACTATGACACTAATTTACCTCCTTTTAATTACTAGCAAATCGAAGCTTAGTATTTCTGCTGCTGTTGAAAGTAACATATGCTAGTTCCGTACTGTATGTACACATATTTTAATGTTCATTTACATGTATTTCTATGTATTATAAAATTTTTAATGTTGTGTAATTTATTCAAAGGGTTCCTGAAGAACCGTAGACATGTTATTTCACGGTCTAGAATCTCAAAGAGTGATTGACACTGTGCATTTTATCTAGTTTTATTTAAACACGCAGTAAGATCAGTAACTTTAACAAGAAAACAAGTAAATTCTGCAGGATCAAGGTGTAATATGGCAGAGGCTGAAATGAGAAGCAGCATTCAATTATTGCAGGTTTTAGAGCAATATTCTCTATGTCCTACTTCTCCTCTGCTTTAAAAAGTCAATTCAAGAACTTGAAAGTTCAACTTCTTCAAACAGGTGGCAGGAGGTTGGGGGTGCAGCTTGGAATTTCCCACCCCCAGACGCCAACAGCAGGAAGGTCACATTGGTTGTGACCACTGCGGTGTGGGAGATGATTGAGCTCATTGCAGCTTCATGGAAGTCCAGCCACCAGAGAGAGGCCAGTTTGTGACCTACAGGAGTCTGCTTTTTAAACCTGAGGCAAGAAAGAAAGTTTAGGATTCTTGTAGCGAAACTCCTGGTCTGCCATCTGCGGAGATTTAGGATGTTACATTCGCTTCTAAATGGAATTTAACTGTGTATCCCCTGGCTGCACTTGTATTATCTCATTCTTCTTCCCGTCATGTAGATGTTGAAACTGTTTTGCCTCGATCTTTATGATAGACTATTGATCTAGGTTTCTGATTTCTCTGCTCTGATGTATTTTAGAACATTTCGTCCAATGTGCTGGAGGAATCTGCTGTTTCGAATGATGTTTTGTCTCCAGATGAAGATGGTGTATGTTCTGGGAGGTATTTCTCAGAAAGTGGCCTGGTAGGGCTGCTGGAACAAGCAGCTGAGCTCTTCAGCACGGTGAGTGAGGGCCAAAATCACCAGGAGATGGAGTGGGGCTAACTAGGCCAGATTCGTAGCTTTTTTTCCTGCACATGAGAAAATAAAGTCTTACTGCTAAACCAGGCTCCACAGATCTGCCCCACTGCAAATAACAAGAGGCAGAGGCACATCTTATGGCTGACCCAGCCCTGCCTCAGCCAGGTTGGCTAAGCTATGCTTTTCAGGTAGCCTAGCACATCAGCAGAAAGTGATTGTCCCAGGCATGAACCAAGCCTTTTGGTTCGCATTTTCATGGGATAGTACATTTAAGAAAAAGATCTTGCTTAAACTATAGATTTTAGAAAGCATGTGAGAGTTACTCCTGTGCTTTTACACAGCATACAACCACCAGCCTCATAATCTACACTTACCATGTAAAGAGTCATGATGTTAATACTCAAGTAGCTCATCATATTGCTGTAGTGCTAAGGGAGGTATATGATTTAGCAACTCTGAAGATATAATTTGGGTTCCTTTTGTCCAGATGCAACTCTGGTTGCCCTGAACCGTACATGCTAAATAAACCCATTTCCTTCTGCTTATCTGCGTTTCTAACTCCTCTAGACCCTAAGCAGAAACCATGTGCTTTACACAGGAATTTGGGCTTGAGAGCCCAACAGATCACAGATGCAGATTAGATAGTTTGTTGTTTGCAGCTCAGAACTACCCATTTACTATTACTAGTTTTTAGAAAGCTAAAATGAGCAACATAGCAGATTAAGAGATGAGTCCCATAAACCCCCTTTTCAGCCAGGCCATTAATGGAGATCTAGTGTCTTTTCAGAGTGCATGAGGACTCATTTCTATTCTTCTATTTTTTTTCCTTTTTTTTTTTTTCTCCCAAGGGGGGATTGTATGAAACTGTGAATGAGGTGTACAAAATTGTCATCCCCATACTGGAAGCACATCGAGACTTCAGGAAGCTTACCTTGACACACAGCAAGCTACAGAAGGCCTTTGACAGCATTATTAATAAGGTACTCATGAGGCAATGCACTGCTAGCAAGACACATTGCTGGGTTGCACTGTTTGTTTAAGACTGGTGATAATAAAACTGTTCATGTGAAATAGATCCATTTCCTTTTTCTAACAAAAGCTTCCATCTGTTTTGGCCTACCTACAAAGGGTAGTCTACAGTGAAAAGAGGCTCTATCCTCTCTGTAGGAGAAAGCAGAGATTAATAAAAAATGGTTTAGAGTTACAGAAAAATAGCTGAACAGGTCAAACTTAGAATAACAACATGCATGATTCCACCTGGCCACATCTATTTAAGAAAAAAAATGAGCCAGCAATGTGCGCTCGCAGCCCAGAAGGCCAATCGTCTCCTGGGCTGCATCAAAAGAAGCGTGGCCAGCAGGTCGAGGGAGGGGATTCTGCCCCTCTACTCTGCTCTGATGAGACCCCACCTGCAGTACTGCGTCCAGCTCTGGAGCCCTCAGCATAAGAAAGACACAGACCTGTTGGAGCGGGTCCAGAAGAGGGCCACGAAAATGATCAGGAGGATGGAACACCTCTCCTCTGAAGAAAGGCTGAGAGAGTTGGGGTTGTTCAGCCCAAAGAAGAGAAGGCTTTGGGGAGACCTTATTGCAGCCTATCAGTACTTAAAGGGGGCTTATAAAAAAGATGGCGGCAAACTTTTTAGCAGGGCCTGTTGCGACAGGACAAGGGGGAATGGCTTTAAACTAAAGGGGGGCAGATTCAGACTAGATATAAGGAAGAAATTTTTTACACTGCGGGTGGGGAAACACTGGCACAGGTTGCCCAGAGAGGTGGTGGATGCCCCATCCCTGGAAACATTCAAGGTCAGGTTGGACGGGGCTCTGAGCAACCCGATCTGGTTGAAGATGTCCCTGCCCATGGCAGGGGGGGTGGACTAGATGACCTTTAGAGGTCCCTGCCAACCCAAACTATTCTATGATTCTATTATTCGATGAAAAATAACTTTATTTTCAATTAACTACTGTTTTCAATTATAAAGCAGAAGAAATACAAAAGCCTGGCTAAATTCTCAGCACTCATACTGCCCTTTCCTTCTCTTTTTTCAGAAGAATCTTATTGCTGAGTCTAGTCAGTTTCAAATTCTTATTAATTTTCCTTGCAAAATTTAAATTTTGTTAATGTGTATCCAATGGAATTAAAAAATAATAATATTTCGTTTTGCAAAAGTCACTTCATGATTAGCCTAAATTTTAATTTAGATTTCAGTCAAATGTCCCTTTAATTTGTATACTTTCCTTCATGAATATGTGCTTCTAATCCATCAGCACTGATGATACGTAGAACTGGCTCTGAAATAGGGAAAATGTAGGATTAGTGGGTTTTCTTACATATCAATTGGGAAAAAAAGGCATCCAAATACTACAATGTTGACATAAAAAAATAAGTAATTGTAAATTTCCTCTTTCTTTTTATCAATTAGGGTCAAAAGCGAATGTTTGGAACTTACTTCCGTGTTGGTTTCTATGGATCCAAATTTGGGGACTTGGATGAACAGGAATTTGTTTATAAGGAACCTGCAATTACCAAACTTCCTGAGATTTCTCACAGATTAGAGGTAAAGAAAAAAACATTGTGTTAATATGATCTCCAGTGTTATGTTATACTTTCTAATGATCCCACACAGTTGTAATAGTATTATTGATATGTAACAATCAGTAACAAACTGATTTGCACCATAGATTATTTCCTTTGTGTATATCCTTTCCATTGTAGCCCTCTTTACAGTATAATGATGAAAGTGAGCCATTCTCTTGAGGCCATGTCTCTTATGGGCAGGCCTGTAATACATTGAATGATTTGATTTGAGCATGCCAGATACTTGCTTTGGTGTCTTTTCAGCTTTTTCATGGAACTGCAATGTTCCCTTCTGATCTCTTTACCTCAAGTTCTGCTTTTTTGTGAGCAACTCACACTGATCTTTGTCAGAAGATTACTTACCCTGGCCAGCTGTGGTTCATGAAGCAGTATTCTGACTGTACAGAGCCCAAAAATTGTCATGGTTACTCCTTTCTCCTAGAGACATGGAGCACTGAGAATTGTTTCTGTGAGTTGGATCATTCCTTCCACTACTTCAGTGGTAGCATCTCGTACCATCTTCCGAAGAGTAGTACCTTGGCCCTTAGGGAGCCAGTAGTACACTGTGGCAACCGCAAGGATGGCATTTTGGACATCATTAATGCAATACAATACATTAGCATTGTATTAAGGACTAAAAACACTCTGGGATAATTCTGTTTCCTTTCCAGGGATTTTATGGCCAGTGTTTTGGGGAGGATGCTGTGGAAGTGATTAAGGACTCCGCTCCTGTAGACAAAAGAAAGCTGGATCCCAATAAGGTAGGGAAAATACTACTGAAAGTGTTGAGTTGCTTTGTCACAGAAAAGAAGGGAAGAGAGGGGGATCCCCTTGAAACTTTTTTGCTCAAACATTAAGGCACCAAAAAAAACCCCAAACTGGCTGTCTCTCTCTGCCCAGGGATGTCCTTAAAGCCTCTGTGAAAGGCTTAGTTTGGTAGCTTGTCACAGAGTGTGGAAATTAGAAGTTCTGATCTCTGGTCCCTGCTCTGGCTCTGATCCCCAGGATTAAGCTGTGCTCTCCCTAGAGGCAAGTTTTGTCAGCTCTGAAGAGGAGAAGGAGCCCTGAAGGATTTGCAGCTCTATGCTCTTCCAGACCATGCTTAGCTGATGTAAACTATGGGATATTTCACATATGCCATTCCTTTTACACTTCTTGGGTTGTAAAGTACTGTAATGGTTCTTCCCTCTTTTCTCAGGCATACATACAAATTACTTTTGTGGAGCCGTATTTTGATGAGTATGAGATGAAAGACAGAGTAACCTATTTTGAGAAGAACTTCAACCTCTGTCGGTTCATGTACACTACGCCTTTCACCATGGATGGGCGCCCCAGAGGAGAGCTTAGCGAGCAATACAAGAGGAACACCATCCTAACCACAATGCATGCTTTCCCCTACATCAAAACTAGAATCAATGTCATCCAAAAAGAAGAGGTAATTGGGTTTTGAGGACAGATCTAATTTCTCAGGGGCTGAAGGAGTCTCTGGGTGGGAAGATTTTCAAATTCTATGCTTGGCAGAAAAAAAGAAAGCTGAATTTCTCAGACATGTTACTCTCATAAATAGGAATGACATAGAATGGGTAGACAAATGCAAGATGGGTATTTACTGTGGAGAAGAGAGGATAGTGAGTGTATATGCTTCTTGACCTCCCAGTTGTAATGCTGTGTAGGAGGATGTGTGGAGCTCTATTTATGGCTGTACTACTAGCTGATAAAGTATAATCAAAGAACTAAATTGGGTTCAGAGCTGGTTTAGAGGCAGGGAAGCTTTGTAAAGGTAGAAAGTGCAAAACCATTTCAGACATGAAGTCAGTAACTTCAAATAATAATGAATTTATGCAAACAGGGAGTCAGTTCCACATCCTATTTTTGTAAATGGTAAGATGTCAAAGAGCTTTGGATCAGATGCAGCATCTACCAAGATGACATTTAGATTGAACAGTCTTCCTGGGTTTTACAACTACTGCTTTTGGCATGGGAGAACGATAGTGGTATTGTCAGATTTAGAACAGGTCAACTGCATGCATGATTCAGGTAATGAAGCATCTTTTCTTCCATATCCATTAGTTTATTTTAACCCCAATTGAAGTTGCTATTGAAGATATGCGGAAAAAAACACAGGAACTAAGTGCAGCCACCAACCAAGAACCACCAGATGCCAAAATGCTCCAGATGGTTTTGCAGGGCTCAGTTGGAGCCACTGTAAATCAGGTAAGGGATCCAAATAAGCCAGATGAAGAGTTTCTGCATACTTTTCTCATTGTGCTTTCTTTTTCGCTGTCATCTCTTGCACTGGAAGTAGTACATCTAGTCAGACACATTTAGTCACAATGTGCATTTAAACTTCATCCCTTGATATTTAGTCATTGTATACTGTTCATTAGGTATGCTTTTGGTGAAAGTGCTCATGGAAGTGCTGTCTTGGTTGTAGGTGCAGAAACTCACAGAAGCTTTTGTGAATGCATCTAAGGATTTTCCATATCTAGCACACTAGCCATCTCAGCCATTTTGTTCACTCCAGGTGTATCCATGGGGAATGGGAATAACAACAACGATTCTGCTGTGGAACCACCACAAACTCACAGTTTCACAGGAAATACATGAAGTCAAGACCTGAGTGTCCCAAAAGAAAGTTGAGATGCAATAATGATAACATAAATATGCCTGCTAACAAAAAAGGCAATTAAAAAAAAATAAAATGAAAGAATGAAGACATAACTGAGAGAAAACTTGGCATTACCCACAATTCCACAGAGCTTGGTTTCTTTGCTGAAAGCCTCAATACTGTCAGTTTTTACAGATTCTTCATCAACCAAAGCCTCTAGTCTGAAGTAACACGTTGTAAGCTTTGGAAAGAGTGGTCCTTTCCTGCTTTGGGCTTGTTTAACTCCCTTGGGGTCTTGTAATGCCACACATAGGAGCTGTGTTTCTCCCATGTAACCAGGTTTGGCAGTAGCGCTATCCCAGCCCTTCTCTGCTGAGCAGAATTTGTCTGTTCCCTTTTTTGTGGGACTGGGGGAGAAATAAAAACAGGAGAAGATAAGATATGATGGGTAAAAACTCAGCTTGCCAAAGGAAAAATTGGGGTGAAAAAGGAGAAAAAAAACATCCTGTTATGGTGACTATGCATAGTTTTCTTTTCTTTTATAATTCCGTTCATGAAATAACAAACAGCTTAACCAAACATGTGGTCTGTTTTCAGTCTAAGCAGCTGTTTTTGACATTTTCCTGTGTTATTCCTACAAGGGACCACTAGAGGTAGCGCAAGTGTTCCTGGCTGAAATTCCAGCAGACCCCAAACTTTATCGACATCACAACAAGCTGAGGTTGTGCTTCAAAGAGTTTATAATGAGGTCAGTAAAACAAAACTGAAATGCTGAATTGCATCAATAAAGCAAATAATCACAATAATTCAATGATAATATGACTGTGTAATTAATTATGCAAGTTAGCATCATGAATCCTGCCATCTCACACTTTAGACACTTGGTCCAGACTTGTTATCTCTGCTTCATGGTCAATGCTTTGGTAGGCTTTGCATCCCAAATGGGAGCAAATTTTAATACTTCAAACTAATTATGTAGAAATTAAGATCTTGCATTTGTTTCATCTTTTGACATTTTACAGAAATCAAGAATTTCAGACTATTGCCTTGATTTTATTTTTAATAAAATTACATTTTTATGTAGGTAGCTGTTCATAAGAAAACACTTGACCCTATCTGTCAAGCAGATACACTGGTAGTGGTAGACACATATGGTCTTTGCTTTCGATATGCTTGTAAATCTTAACAAGCATAATCACATAGCAAGATATTCATCTCCTTAGTCCAAACAAAGCATAATTGCCGAAGGATAAATTTGAGTTAAATAAAAATGAGCCTTATGCAGAAGATACAGCCCCTACTCTCTGCTATTGTCACTGCATCTGTTTACAGTAGGTAGGCAGGTAGCTCAGTATTCTGCAGTCATTAAATTTGTTTTTTATTAGCTCCCTCATGCATTTCTAATGTCTTAAAAATATCGCCTCAATTTGTGTACTTGGAAAAGACAGAGGTTTCTTACTAGTTCATTATCATTTTGGACTTGAGAAGTTACCAGAGCAGGGCCTAGCCCAGAGGAGCTGAACCCTTGGCTATTAAGATTACCTAACACAAAGTTAATGAGTTTAACAGAAGTAGATCACACATGTCATGCCTTTTTTCCTTTCCTTTTGCCTAGGTGTGGTGAAGCAGTGGAGAAAAACAAGCGCCTTATTACTGCTGACCAGCGGGAATATCAGCTAGAGCTTAGAAAGAACTACGGGAAGCTGAAGGAGAACCTTAGGCCCATGATTGAGAGGAAGATCCCAGAGTTGTACAAACCTGTAGTGAAAGTCCATAGCACAAGGTACAGTTAGGGCAGGGTTATCTGTTGTAGCTCTGCAAAAAGATGCCATTTTTGCAAGGAAGAAAGGCAGTTTTACTGGCAGCTAAAACCAGACCATAATATACACTGCCAACTTCATACTTGATTAAAGAAGTCTGCAGACTTCCACTGGAGCTGAATATAGTGTTAACTGTTTCTCAAGCTGCTCATTCCTGGGGTAGGGGATTTATGTCATTTTAATGCATCGTTAGAGAAGACTTCCCCCTTGCCCTAATGAAAAGATATTGGAAACATCTTGCCATGTCTTCAACATTTGAAGCCAGGAGGAAGATAGGACAGGTGTGTGTTTGTTTTGAACACGGCACCATGTGGTGTTAGCATGTAGTAAGAGTGATCCTTTCACTCCCAGATAACATAATCCAGTTTAGTCCCATGACTGAGACAGAAGAGTCTTAACTTATGTTCTTTACTTATGAATGTACACTTCTTTACAAAGCCCCAGTGTGGGGTGGGAGCGGAAGAAGGAATACGCCTCTGACCTGCCAACACATAATATGTTCCAGCTGATGATTTGTCAGCTGCTCCTTTTCACAAGGCAGGTATTTCTTGGATTCTTTTCCATTTGCCAACTTTATTTATGGATCCGTTTCATTGCAGGGAATCTTTTCGTAACCACAGTTTTAGGAAATACGATGCCCAGACTTCTTCACAAAGCACCTAAGGACTAGCTGCTTTGGCCAAGGAAGAGCTTCATGCTGTAAGCCAGAAGTGATGGGGTATTCAACATCTATGAAATCAGAAATCTCTCGCAAGACAGCATGTGCGCTTTCTGGACAGCATGTAGAAAAGCATTTACACAAGATCACAGAATGAAAACCGGGGAATGACTCCTAATCAACCACATATCTTGAGGGCTTGGGAAGGAACGGGGTGCTTTGTAGATACTTTTGCATGTATTGTAAAATAATCACATAATGCAGAGGGGTGGACCATTAGAGTGGTCAGTGGCATGAGGTCAGTCACCACTAGCTAACAGACACAGAACTCTGTGTGGTTTGGTTGAGGTGTTATGTGAATCCAAATAACTGGTCTAAGGGATGCTGACAAATTATGTCTGTTTATGGTCCTTTTCCAAGAAAGCATTTATCCATGTGCTTTTGGCAATGGAGCACATTCTGCAAGTTAATCACATGCTTAAATGCTGTCTTAATGAGGAGGGACATGGTCCCCTGCTCAGTGTTTGCTGAGCTGGAGCTGTAGGAAAGAATAATTTCCTCAGTCAGTTTCTGTCACCAGTATCTATCACAGCCCTTAACCGCAGGGAGATTTCTGCACAAGTTTTCTCAACCAAAGCTTGGAAAGCAAGTAGCAGCAATAAATAATTCTTATAGATCTTCTAAATTTTTTTCTAAGTATAGGGACTGTACTTAGGGACTTGACATGCAGTTGGATTTCTTAATAAACTGTGTCATGTTTAGCAGAGCTAACAAGTAACAGTTTAAGAAGAAGATGCTAAACTATGAGTGATTCTTTAGCTATACAACGCTCTCATGTAGATAATCTTATCCAAAATGAACTACAGAAGCACACAGTGAGGATTTCCTACAAAGCACATCACTCAGGCTTTGCTGCAGCTTAAGAAAAATTAACACATAATTTATAATACCTAATGCTTAGTATTTTCTGAACCCTGGAGCAAATGTTTTACTAAATGATCTTTACAACACTTCTCTGAAGTAAGGAAATATTACTACAGTTTTGCAGATGAGGATGCTGAGAGAAAGAGAGAGAGAGATTAGGACTTTGGAACTCATTTAGTAAGGCAATGGCAGAACCACAATTTGTATTGTGATCATGCTTACCATGTAATGTTTGTATTTTGAAACAAAGATCCATGAAAGCGTCCCTTGATATTACTTCCTTCCCTCCACCTTTTCAGGGTTTTGGAAATTAGAGTTTAATGCTGATTAAAGTAACTAATCCCATTTGCCCAAACACAGAATTTAATGTTAAAATTAAATGAAACGGTGGAATTTTTTCCTTTGTACTTCATTTTAGAAAGTTACAGTGAACTTTCTCAGAGCTGATGCCATGTGTTTCTAAACGCAAAGCCTCTTTGCTCTGAAAGTATAAAGGAGATTGAGGCTGCTGCTTTTAGTGGAAACATTTTGACTTTTTAAGGTCATCTTCAGGCTTGCCATTTGATCATAGGAATTTTCCCATCACTTTGTTGACATCTGAGTGAGTCAGATTGTGAATGTGCTATGTAGAAGATTCACAGGGATGATCAAAGATGAGGTGTGGAAATAGGTGAAATAAAGCTTGTACTTACACAGCACTTGGAGTGTAAGAAAGCACTTCCCTTCTCATTCATAGTATTGTTAAATGCAATAATCAGGAATAAGTACTCTCTGATTTTGAAGTGAACTTATCCAAAGTACATAACCAAATCGTATAAAAAGCTCAAAGCCAAAGACGCCTCCATGGAGTGGCTTCTCTGTATTCAAGTTGCTTTGAAACTGTTCTACACTGAAAAGATGATTAATTTCCCAAAGCTTTGAAGCTATGAGATCTCTGCCTGTCAGAACCTAGCCCCTTATCTATTAACAGCCTGTTGGGGAGGAAGGTCAGAATACTGTTATCTATCAACCCCATAATCCAACCTCATTGTTTACAAGATGCTTATCCTTTACAGCCTAAACAACAGAAACCTCAGGTGAACAAAAGAACCCTACAGGTGTACAATATACTAGGTAAAAGTAATTAAGTGTTTCCTGTTGTGTGGTTCTTGAAGTGAAACAATACTCAGGATAATATGAATACTGAAGGACTCCACTCACATTTTACAAGCTGAGCACCCCTCAACCAGTTGTCCAGTCTTGCCCTTTCTAGCTCATGTTGTGCCTTCTACAAATGACACGGGGTTTGTACATTTCTTTCAAGAGTTGAACTATGTGAAATTTTGTACTTTATGATATTCATTTTGCAATAAAGTGACTGTTTCACAGGATGTTCTGAAGTGCCTTTGTGTTGCACCTTACACCTCAACAGAATCCAGCTGGAAAGAAAATTTCAGTAGGAACAACCTTTCCTTGTAGAAGCATCATTCAGCAGAAAATACAAAGATTTGGGCAGGGGAAGTGTCGGTCTGTCTTTAGGATAAATTGTGCCTATTGCAGGGGTAACAGGCAACAACTTGCTTCCTAACTTCTTTTTCCGTTCAGTGTCTGTGAAAAATGGCAGTGGGAAGCTCAGTGACAGTAGTGCCCTCCTTCCTTCCTCCGGTGTGTGGGTGCAGAGCAGAAACATGCCTGATTCTTGAATGACACACCATCTTGGAGATTCAAGACTAGGGAGAGTTGCATGTGTCCACACTAGTTAGGTCCAGGGCTAAACTACTGAGGCTGTCACAGGCAAACCAGCAAGTGAGGCACAGAGCCACACCTATCCTGGTCCAGAGACTCCCACGCGCGTCTTGGCTGGGAGTTCACCATAGCTTACTTACTCCTTGCGTTTACCACCAGTGAGCACCAGCTTTAAGGAGCATGGTGCTGGTTTTGGGGCTGGAATCCTTTAGCGCAGCACGAGCATCTCTCTGTTCACCATCCCAGCCGTGCCCCGTCCCGCTGTACCACACAGCGGCAGGCTGTGAGTCTGTAGACGGCCCCATCGCCCAGCAGAGCACAGCTGGTCCAAACCAGGTGTGAGCACACACTCACACGTCTGTCACCGTGCAGACAACACGCATATATAAGGAGTCCATGCCGGCTGTGAGAAGACCAGCATGCCCAAAAGTAAAAATTAACCTGTCAGCATGTTTTGAATACATTTGAACAGTCAAGGTGGGTGCTTTTGGTCAGCACTACTGATCCTACATGGGCAGCCCTAACGCTAGATTTCATGGTTTGCAGAACAGCAGCCGTAAAGGGAGCACACCTTTTGTACTGCATGAAAAAAACCACACGTTCGAGGCTTCAGCAAGTGATGGACTGAACAGTCATGACTGTGAAGAGCTTAGCCACACTTAATTCGGGTAAAGAGAAATGCAGCGTTGTCGCTTATAACTGGTGGGTCTGGGTTACACGACCTCTCTCTGGAAGCTGAATGCTTCCTCGTTAGGTTTCCCACTGATGTGAAGACTTGGAAAAATGAAAGCAAACATTTTAATTCCTTTTTTTTGTTTTTCCTTTTTGTCTATTTGAAGTATCACCATCTCAAATATTTCAGAAAGGGGAATTAAAGCTTAGCAGACAGCCTGACATAGAGCCAGCTAGGTCTCTTTAGGGTGTTATAATCTCCCAGATAATGCTTGTTATGAAAATGAAGCACATGACAACAGTGTTATACTGTGTTTTACTGCACTACAGCGCTGCTGCCTTCTGGTAGACAGGAACACGTACACGGAGTGTTCATAGGGTGTTGTCATTAGTGCTGAATTTGGGAGTGGGGTAATTGGGGGAGTAGCTCAGCTGACTATGTTTTAACCATTTTTTAAACCGGTTAAACGGAGTGATTAAAAAATAGTCAACAAGTCTTGATAAGTCATCTCAGGTTGGGAAATGCTCAGGTCTAATCAGTGCACTGAAAGGAGAAGGGGCCCCTGTGGAAAAAGTCCTTTTTGATTACATGAATAAAGGCAATGCACACGCACAGTAGAGGTCAATTAGCGTTTGGGAAGGTAACAGTAAAATCTAGCATTGATTGAGTGCTTGACATAGTGAATTGAATATGTTTCTGTGACTCCACATGTTCTCAGTGAGGGATTGGTTTAAATTAAGCATTTTTATTCAAAAACTGAGTTTTCCAAGGGTTCAAGAATTAAAAAACTAACCTGATGAAGTTTCCTGCAAACAATGTAGTCCCTCAATATTGCTCAGTAAAAAATCCTGAAAACATCAAACAAAATGTTTAGCTGATCAAAACAAACAAACTAAAAACCCAAAGACCCTCAATAGTAGTTTTTCTAGGATTAGTTTAGAAAACCTTGAATGTTGTAACATTTTGTTCTGCTTGTCTGTTCTAGGCAATCTGCTGCTTTGCACCCTTCAAAACAAAACCTTCCCTTTAGGGGAAAAAAATGCAAAGTTGAATTCTACCTTTTTTTTTTTTTTTAATTTCCCTGTAACGAATTTACACAGCATATGCTGTGGTGTCCAGAACTAAGCATGCATTTAGGCCTGATTACTACACAGATGCACCATTTATAAGCTATATACCTTCTCAATGGAAACAGTTGTGAGAGAAAAAATTGGTACGTACTTGTTTAAATGCCACGTGTACAGAATTAAAAGATACCTAAATGCAAATGTAAATGCTCTAAATCATTACACACTTTTTCCTATGCTATAAAACTGACTTCATATTTCTGTCTATCTGTGGATCTAATACTTCTTTTAGAACTATTTATTTTTACAGGAATAAAGTTTTTCCCTATCTGCCTCTAGTCATGGAATATTTCTAAACATGTATTAGACGCCTACTAGGACTGGTGAAATCCAAATTACAAAGGAAGTTGTGACTTATTATAAGTTGTAAGCTCTAATAACCAAAGGGACAAGGTATTTCAGCTGGATGGCAGGGGGACTATATGTTGCGCTATTTAACAAACACCTGTAAAACAACTGGAAGGGAAGATTTCCTACCACACATTTCCAACTTTCCCAAATGTGAACGTCTGTACAAATTTCTGTTCCCCAAGGAGAGCTTCATGAAAAACAGAAAAAGCAAGCTTAGCATTG